AAGCTGTGCTGAGAGGCCCCTGTGTAGTAACATGGTAACTACGCCATACTGCACAGGTTCCAGTGGGGATGATTCCACTAATGCTAGAAGGAGTAATGAAGACGAACCTCTCAGAGTGAATTACTAACACCATCAGGGCTTAGCAGGCTTTGGAAATATAAAGTTTAAAGATCTGATCAGTGTTTCCACTTAAGTGTCACAAAACTGCCCAACTTTGGATCTGAACGGTGCAGTTGTGTACCTATGTAGGAAAAACAAATAAAGGCTGTTTTAATCTGGGGAGAAAATATCACTTTGGCGGCTTGAAACTCAAAACTATTAAAACAATACACTTATTTATTATCTGTTCTGTGCTCACTTCCAGTGCCTTGCTTCAGTGCCCTGAGCTAGAACAAGACATGGCTCTCAAGGAAGAGCCATAGCAGGTTCTTTTGAAATAGCTCCAAACTGACAGTGTTCACTGGGGAAAAGAAACAAAACCATAAATGTATACAGATAGGAACTAGAAATGAACACGGAAAAAAGCAAAACAGTTTTTAAGATGGCCAGATTTGGTGAATTTCCTTTCTTTTGACTTAATGCTGGCATTACATTCTTGGTGAAATATATAATACACTGTAAAAAGGGAAAGTATAGAAAATATCATATTGCTTAGCTGTCTGCCCCAAGTCCAGCATCATTTTAACTGTTAGTGATAATAATTATTAGTTTATAATCCCAAGTAAAGTTCAAGAACTAAGTAGGGATCATCTGAACGAAGTCCAGTGAGGACAGAGATATACAGAACCAGGGAAGAAAGATTCCCACCACTGCCGTGTGGCTATTAGGAAGGTGGCCTGAGAGGCAGGCAGCCTGGGCTGAGGACCAGCTCACACGTACTGTTGCGAGGCCCTGCGCAGCGGCACGACCTCCCAAGACACAGCTCTCTCGGCTGTAGAACGACAACAGCACTGGCCCCTCTCTCTGCGCTGACAGGAAGGGTGCATGATCTGGGGAAAGAAAGTACTCTCCACCAGGCCTCGGACCGAGTTCAACATTCCCAGTAGGTTTTCTCGTCTCACCTCAGGCAAAACAAACTTCATGCCACCCCCAATAACTCTGCTGTACGCAGGTGCCCGTGTGCCTGGGACAGCCTGCTTTACAGGGCTGGTCTGTCCCGAAAGCGCACCCCGTTCGGGAGATCAATTACATGGCCTCTATGAATACCACCTATGTGTTCTTCATGCCCGGCTCCACATTTTCCTCCTGCTGCTCATCTCAATCCAGTATTTTCAACTCCTCTCCCCTCCTTCTGGCATGTTTCTATTCTTCACTGCGTACTTTTCAGAACCACTGATTTTCCTAAGCAGAAAGGGCATTATTAGGTCCATTTTACCCATGTGAAAATGAAGGCAGAGAGAGGAAGGCTAAATTCAAAAATTACAGAGAGAAGAATTCATGAGCATTTGTCTTTAACACAAACAGCTCAGGAGAAACATGTGAATAGCCAAACTAGGCCTAGAACTCTGGTCTTCTGACTCTGAAGCCAGGTTACTTCTCAAAGTCTCCGCGAAGGGGAGAGAGAGAATAATAATTTCTGCATTTATATTGTCTATGTATTTTTACAGATTCAGATTGTACAAATCCTATCTAATCCAGGTAAGAGATGGCTACGTATGTACAATAGGAGGTGGCTCCCAATAAAGGGAAGGAAAAGGGAAAAAGAATGTTGTTTTAGTCAGAATAGTTTAGCATACCTTGTGATGAAGGACTGTGGGAAATATGAGCAGATAATGACACCTTGCATTATAGCTCTCAAAACACTTTAAATTAAAACATTGATATTAAAAAAAAATCTAAACAACAGCATGAGGTAAGCAAACACCTCATTCCTTGAGAAGAAATGGAGGCTGAGAGGAGTGAAATGAACCGCCTGAGGACCCCTGACATGGTAACCGAGCCAGAGTCAGACTTCAGGTCTTCGGAGTCCTCCTCTGGGATTCTTCCGGCCATACCCACCTGTCTCTGACCTTTACTAGCAAAAAATCATCTAAGGCTGACCACGGCCTTTAAGTGGTATGACCATATAATTTATCACCCAAACCAGGACATTGGAGAGTGAAAGGAGGCACTCAATAAGTACACGGGGACAACAGGGGTAAACTGGGACTGTCTCACTCAACCTGGGGTGTATGGTCACCCTGCTCCCGTTGTGTATTCCAGTGCGCTCTCCTGGTTGCACATTCGACAGCACGGGCTATCTAAGCCTTTGCACTCTATTTACCCTTTCCAATCCACAGAGGAGATCTGTCTACCTAGCCAGATTGAATAATGGATTTGAGCTTTTTAAAAATGTTTTAACTCGTGTTATTTACACACAAAAAATGAAGAAAGGTTACCTCCTCCACCACCCACCCACACACCTTGGGTAGATCAAAGCCAGCACGTTTCTGAAAGCTGTGCAAGTAAGATCACCTGATGTCTACATCCCACACCCTGCACGGCCACTGATGCCCTCTTCTTCCTTGACAGCTAACCAGTCAGCAAATCCTGCCCATTCTACCTCACGGGTTTCCAGCCAACACACCCAATTTTCTCCACCCCTGGAGCCACTACCAACCATCTTCATCTAACCTTCTTCATCCACATCTGTCTCTTGAAACAGACTGGTTCCTTCTTTTCCTCTAATCTCTCTCCACGCTGCAGCCTGAGTGATCCTTCCAAAACACTCATCAGCCACACAGCCATCCTGTTTTCAAAGCCTGGCAAGGCTTCCCTTCCCTTCTTCCCTGCATGACGGAACTGACACGCTCACTGCCCAAGGAAGCAGTGAAGAGGCAACGGGCGGGTGGGGTGGGGTGGGAGGCAGCTGCTGACCAGTTCTTGATTATCCCTACGTGTCAGATGAAACAAAACTTTTTCCCAGAAGAATTCATGTTAAAGGCTATTAAGACTCATAATTTAGTGATCTGACTCCTCTAATGAACTGTTGAACACGAAAGCAGAGACCACTGTTCCTTCAGTGCCTAGCACTGTCCCTGACAGAACAAAAGCTCAATAATTTGTTATTGAAAGAAAGGCAATAAATGAACGTGAATAATTTAGAGTTACATGTATCAAACAACAAACTGCCCCGGGCAGGTCACGAGAATGATTTTTTTAAATAATACCCCTTAATTTCTGGGTACAGTTTTAAAATCAATGGCTCCTACATTTAATATATATATTTTTTCAACCAATTACTATGATAGCCAGACTTATTTTTTTCAAGAAAATGGAAAACAATTCATAAGTTTTTAGAGGCTGTCTTTCTCAAAATCACAGAATTGTAAGAGGTGGAGCCAGAAATTAAATTTGGTCCTATGAATTCCAAACTCTTTCTCCTAGCATAGTCTGCCTTAAAATCCTTGGGACAGTGTCACTTAAGACAAGGGTAATGCTATATAAAAGATCAGTTTCCCAAGAGATCCAAAAAGAAAGAAAGAAAAACAATTACTAAGGAAGATCACTCATGTGTAGGTTATTTCATCCTATCTACTCCTTATAACTACTGTTTGATACACCATATTTTTATAAAGCTAAATACTAGTGTCAAGATCATATATTTTTCTGCATAGGTGTTTGGAATAAAGGCACAAAGTTTATAGATATTGACAGAACACAGCACGTTATTAGCTGAATACAAAGACTTAATTCTCAATTTCTTCCTAGACATTTATCTTTAGAATTTAGTCACCTACAAAATACTCTTAACATACATAACAGCCCTAAAATGTTCAAGTGAAAGTGACAATGTTTTAATGATAGCAACAACTGTGCCTCACAGTATTACTAACATGAATAGAGCAGGATAAATTTTTTCCTGCTAATAAAAAAATTTTTAAAAACACAAAACAAGGTCCTTAAATATCTTAGCCACAAGATGCCAATAAAATTGAATTTATGTCTGGTTTAATTCGACAATGGAAAAGTCAGCAGTTAAAGGGTAGGTAAACTTCTCTTTGTCCCTCTTTTCCTGAGAAACTTTCAAATGTTACAAATCAATTCCTTTTGTCCCCTTATTATTCATCTGCTACACATTAAATAGAAACTCTGGGCATCGAGTGATTCCCGCAGGGTCTTTCATCTACAGAGAAACCTGGTACAAATTAAATTCTTACTCTCTCTCACAAATTATAGATATGTATTATAGCAGACCACCGATTTATCAGTTCTTGCTTCTGCCAGTTCAGCTTAGTGGGACTAGCTAATTGTAGTCCTTTATCTAAAGTTACTTTGGGTTTGGGGATTGTGGTGATGTATTAACTAAAGTGGAGCATTATCATGTTGCTCTGACTTATGGGCTCTATTTTAAACAGTATTCTGTTAGATATTTTCTTTTAGTTACTTCCCAGATCCTTGAGCCATTTAGGCTATGCGTGTGTATTTTAGTATAGTGGAATAATACTAAATAATATTACTCTGGCAGTGATGTTATGCTATAAAATGACGGTCATAATGATTATCACAAATAATGTGGAAAAACAGACTGTGCAGAAGATCTCTTAGAAATGTTTAACTGATGCAAACATTGTTTTAGCACTGGACTTTAGGACCAAGAGTTAAAGAAGTGACTTTGATTTCAGTCATGCAGCATGTTCTTAAGGAGGGTGCACCTTACACAGGGTATCTCTATTAAACCTCTTCTATCAGAAGGAAACCCTGCATATACGCACACATATGCACACACACAGCCGATGAGTCTCTAAATTGTGCTAGGAAGTTATAAGAATTTCACTTTAATCTGTTACCCACCAAATATATTAACTGTTTTTGGCAAAGTTGTTCTTCTAGATCTTTAATAAAGACAAAATTTGATCAGCCCTTGGTCAATTCTACAAGTGCCAGGACTCCTCAAATTATTCTATTTTTTTCTGGAAAGATTTGTCGCAAGTCCAATATCCGCTTTTACCTGAGATCTCCTAGAGTCAAAACGAGCAGTCTAATTAGTGGAAACTATCTTCCTCCCACCAACGCCTCACCTCACTCGAATCCTCCTGCTGATTGATAACAGCGAGCGCGTCCTCCGCGGCCTGCCGCTTGGCCTCGGCGACGGTCCGCTCCATCTTGGCGCGCTCTGTCGTGATCATGTCATGGGCTTTCCGCTCGGCCTCGGACACGGCCTTCTGCAGCTCGGTCATCGCCTGGCGCTTCACCTCGTTGACGGCCTCCTCTGCATGCCAGGCAGGCCAAACAGGATGAGAGAACATTTATGTTAGTGCTGAGCCTTGGATACTGATCCCTGTTAAACAGAATTCTATAGAACAGACATGACTCTCATCCCAATTAGTGGGCAGTTCTTCTGGCTGTCTAAAAAAACCAAGAGATTTCTGAAATTCATTTAGGAAAACAAACAGTGAGAATTTTTCTTTAACTTGAACTTCTGGGAATACTTTTTAAACTACTACAGTAGTCCCCCCTTATCTGTGGTTTCTCTTTCTGCGGTTTCAGTTACCCACTGTCAACTGCAGTCCGAAAATACTAAATGGGAAATTCCAGAAATAAACAATTTGTACGTTTTAAATTGCACACCATTCTGAGTAGTGTGATGAAATCTCCCACCTTCCAGCTCCGTCCCAGGTGGGACATGTATCATTCCTTTGTCCAGTGTATCCACGCTGTATACGCTACCGGCTCACTAGTCAGTTAGTAGCCCTCTCAGTTATCAGATCGACTGTCACGGTATCACAGTGCTTGTGTTCAAGTAACCTTTATTTTATTTAATAATGGCCCCAAATCACAAGAGTAGTGATGCAATTCAGATATGCCAAAGAGAAGTTATTAATCTCTTACCATTCCTAATTTACAAATTAAGCTTTATCATGGGTATGTACGTATAGGTAAAAACAGTATAAACAGGGTTCCGTACTATCCATGGGTTCAGGCATCCACTGGGGCTCTTGGAACGTATCCCCCCGAGGATAAGAGGAGACTACTGTATATCGTTACTACAACTTTTCTATCAAACTAGTACCTCCAGAAAGGATTCCGAGACCAGACTAAGTAGTTAAAGGACAACCACCACCACAAGAAACCCTTCTAGACAATTCAGACACATAGAGAAGGTGGTTTGTCACAATGCTATAGGTTAATACAAACATAGGAAGTACATGGGCAAACCTTTCACAAAAAAGAGAGGAAGTTTAATGCATTTACACACACATATATGTAAGTGCAAACAATTATTTTGCTGGTAAAATCTACAGCACAATAGTGAAAAGGGAATTCATACAGCAATTAAGTTACTGCAGATCTTTTAAAGAAAATCAATGATAAAACAGACAATTCAGCTTTTCTTTTTCATAAGTCATTCCCTAAGTAATATGGGTATATGCCTTTATAGACTAAATGATAGGGATTTTTAAAAATCATTTTCTCATTTCCAAATTTCAAGCTATTGTCCATCTACTTAATCAAATATATACACAGTTTCGCATACCAACTGTTGCACTGGACAAATATAACTGAACCACAACACAGGCCAAAACAGTCGGGTCTGACCACAAACCTGCAGATGTCAAACCAGTTCTTTATTTTTGGCGGTGGGAAGGGTGCAAAGATTTAACTAACGTACAACATAAGACTGACAACTAAAACAAGCAATTTCCATTTTAAAAAATTAACTGTTCTAATTAACAAGGGAAAATATCCTCCCCGTGAATTAATCTAATTTTCATCTTTATTCAAAGCAAAATGACAATGATTAATTGAAAATTTAATAAGCAGTAATTATTAACTTGGCAAACCTAGTACCAATTAACACTCTATTAAAACTAATTATGACATGTTTCATTCAAGTGTTTGCACTTAATTGTTTCACCCACTTAAAAAGAACCTTAATTAAATGTTCTGTTTAATTAAAAACATAGATTCCTAATAAAAATGTTTTACTGTACATTAAAAATGTAAGAGATGCAAATACTCCTACAGTTTCTTAAATTTCCATAGTTTATTTCACACATCTATAGTCCATGACTTGAGGATCATCAAAAGCCCTCCACTAGTAATTAACTGTCATGACTTTTGTAGCCTCTGTCATTTTAGCAGCATTGTTTCTGAAATTCATTCATTTGCAATTACTGTCTGCTAGGTTTTATAAACTAAAATATTAGGAAAAGATCCAGACTAGAAATATGAACTAAAATATGTTAAGTCTTTGTTTGTTGCTTTAAAATCTGCATTTGAAATTTGGATAGCAACAGAATATCACACAGAGCTTGCAGCACCTTCTTCACCAGGAGGTGAAAAGATGCCTTTATTACCCTACCATAAATGTTTTGGGGCACCAGGGAAGTCCTGCCCTTCTAACTATACAGCCAGGGTCTAATTTAGTTTGAATATTCAAGGTGAATTAAAATTCTATCTAAGTGGTAATACAGGACAATAATTTTTGCTTACGATCAAAGCTGTAGCTTGACTAATTGTATATGCAAATCAGGCAATTTGTATTTAAATTATGCATTCCTATTCTAATCCCACAGGCATATACAGATCAGCAAAGAGAATTGGTAGGACATTTGCAAGGTGCTTGAATATTTATTACCAACTGCAAACATTCACTGATCGTTTGAAAAAGAAATATACTGAAGAAAACATTCAGTTGCAATTTAAAAACCATCTTTATTTTAGATTTTTTCTCCAATTTTATAAAGGCTTTTGTAACTTTAGAGTGCATTTTTTACTTTTGCTGTTGCTTTTAAAAATATTACAATTGGGGGAAACTGATGTGGCTTTCAAGATTTGTTGGGATTCCAAATATTTAAAAAGGTATATTATTGTTATATTGTATTATGGAGGCAACGTGCAAAATTTGAATAAGGTCTGTAGATTAAATAATAGTGTTGTATCAATGTTAACGTCTTGATTTTGGTAATTGTACTATGGTTATATAAAAGAATGTTGTTCTTAAGAAATACACACTAAAATATTTAAGGGAAAAGAACATCATGTCTGCAACTTACTCTCAAATATTTGGGAAAAAATATGATGCATGATAGAGAAAGAAAAGGAGGGAAGGAGAAAGGAAAAGAGAGAGAGAAGATATTAAAGTAAATACAGTAAAATTGGGAAAACTGGGTGAAAGGTATAAGGGAATTTTTATACTATTTTTTGCAACTTCTCTGCAAGTTTGAAATGATTTCAAAACAAAATGGTGCAAAATATTATATGATGTACTTTCAAGCACAGGATATACTTTTTTGCAATTATAATTTTCTGCAAAAAAGGATGCACTGGTTACACTAAATTGAATTTCGAGACTTCGTCCCCTTTGATATTTCTCAAATGCTTTAAACTTTATTTTATTTACTTATCTTTTGCCACAAAGGTAATGTATAATACTTTCATTGCAAAGACATACTTTATAGGTTTTTTCCTAAAGAAAAAACTTGCCCATGGCAAATTTTAGAATCTTGGAAAAAGTGCTTTCAAACTGTAGCAAGCTGAGTGCAGATGTCACATTCTGCCCTTGGTGTTTTCATCATGTGGGATGCCTTGATACTGCAAACACTAGAAATGCTTTTTAAGAAGCCTATAAAGATAAATATTATAAGCAATTATTTAAGACTTCCAGATGAAACTGTCATCCGTACTTTGGGGATTTAATATACTCCTTAAAATTTAGCATCCATCCATAGAAAACTATTCCTAACTGTTCTTATGGAGCAGATTAGGGATATCACTGTAAGAAGAATACAAATTTAACTGACACCACTTTCAAGTTGTACTTTAGAAAGAAGATCTAATACAGATGATAGGCACATCTAGAAAACATTCCAAACATTTTGCTTGATAAAGTTTAACCCTTCTTAAAGTGCATGGACACAACAGAAATAAGCATCGTTCTTTCTCTACTCCCGAAGTCCCCCCAATGTCAAGTACATTCAGAATTGGTTTCAGAAACCCAGAAAACATACAGTGAAGAAAAATAATAGTGGACTCAATAGATTACAACATGTCAAGTTAAAAAAAAAAAAAACTGATTAAGTGGAAAATACATAGTGCAGTTTTGAATCTGCTTCCAATTGCTTACCACTTATGGTAGGACTTTCTTTGTGCATAGCTATTCAAGTTGACTTTCCAACAAAGGTGGTATATTCAGAAAAATCTGCTCTCACTTAATAGCAGTCAAACAAAGACTTGAGCAGATAATAGCACAGAAGGAATTTGGATTACACAAGACTTTACTGTCAATTTTGCTTTATGATCTATCAAGGATTTAACTTAAGTACACATAAATACGGGAAACGTAGAGAAAGACTCTCTCCCTCAACATAAAAAGTCTTCCTTCTGCTGTCCAAAATGGCAATTCTTTGTACCTCTTATTGGAATAAGTTGCACTAACAGCTTAAAAATGGGGGAGAAAAACGGTCAGAAGGAAAATGCAGCAATTCTTTCTCCAGGTAGGGGGCACCCAGCATATTTTAACAGCTTAGGAGTATCCCATAACTATTACCCATGTAGAAAATCTTCTTAGAGGTGATGCTGTAAATCTGGTAAGGCTACGTAGCTAAGTAACATATATACTTAACCTTTGACCTCTAAGATGAATAGATCTATCTGACTTGCACATTGGACATGCAAGAGAGCTTTCGGGTTCTCAATCTAAGCTACCAAGCCTAGAATACTATCAGATTTTGAAACTCATCACTCTTACAAAAAAAGGTATTTCTTAGGAAATCTATAAAAATACTTGGATAAGAGCCAAGTGACCAGAGAGTCAGCAAGCTGCACAGAACTACAGACACAGCTGGGTCAAATCAAAACCCAGAGAGAAATCTTTTGTAGGAAAAAAACCCCTTTCCCTTGACTCTTTCTCCTTGATTAAGGTTCCCAGCCCTACACCCATCTGACCGTTTGCAGAAATAGCATGTTCCAGTTTCTCAACTCAAACAAACTATTTTAGCAGCTGGAGTTACAGCAGCTCAAAGCCACAGTATGTGTCTGCCATGTCATCTTCAACTCTTGAAACATGTTTATGCTTTATCTCCTGAGTTGAGTTTTTTAAAGTTTTTGCTCAACTTTTATAGTGCTGGTGTTCCACCAAGATTCTGCCAGATCTGAACTTCTTTAAGCCCAATAAGTCAATGAGTCATCAACAACTTTAAATCTACTTCAAAATGTAGAGCAATATCTCTTAATGAAAATCAGATAGTATACCTGGAAAGGAAAAATAGAAGTTTAGCGACTTTGCCATTAAATTTAAAAAATAATTTAGCTCTGGTCATTGAATATTAATTAGCACAGAAGATCAATTTTAAAAATTGGTTGTAACCATAAAATCTCTGAGTGCCTCAACAAGTCAACTAGATTTGACGTGATTTTTTTAAGACTTTAGGAGATGTATGTCAATAACATCTCAATAAAAAAAATTCAGGAGAAAAGGCTGAAGTATGCAATTTAATTTACAAAACATCAAAATTTTTTTTATAAAGGAAAAATTGCATGCAAGCTGACACCTCATATGCAAACTTTCAGTCTGAAATCATTACAGCCCCCAAAAATAGAGGTTTATAACAGAAATATTGCCAGACTCTCACTTACAGTGGCACTAGCAGATGCTACTAAAATAAAAACCATTTCATGTTCTAATCAGGCCTGGTTTAAGAATATTAATTAGGATTTTTAAATTTTGTTTTTGGGGGAAGGGCTGTTTTGTTTTTGTTGTTGTTGATAGCAGTGAAGTCCTTTCTTGTCATTCTTCCCATCACTGCATTAACAACTGCACACAGCTGCCAGAACACTAAACTCGTGTTTTTAAACAATTCTTACCAGCTTTCTTCCAGATCTCCTCTGGCACGTATCCAGAAGCAGGCCTGTGAAGGAATTCCCGATGCGCATCTACGAGAAGGAGAAAAGGCGGGTGGGGGGAGGCGGAAAGCACCATAAGCATGTATGTCATTACGCAGAGAAGAAGCAAGCAATGCCCATGCTCTTGGCTTCTCTACAAGAACATAATTGTAAAAGGCTGAGCATTTCACTTCTAGAGAATAAACAAAAATAGCAACACCAGCCATCAGAGCTCAAGGAAAACAGGTCATTGGTCTGTACGCCTTGTATGCTCAAAGTCAAAACAACGTTCACGATTTCATCATACAAGATGACACTTGGGAACACTGTTCCCAGCACTCCGTCACTTTGGGAATTTCTATGGGTGTATTTTATTTTGTAAAAGAAAATAAAGTGTATTTGGTTGTTTTCCTTTCAAGAGACAAATTGATATTTAAAAAATCAAATGTAGGGGTAATGTAATTTTCACATAGCTCTGATTCTAACACCTTTCAATAAATAGTGAGCCTTACTCCATGGCTAACCAGGTCTCACACTTAATTACTTCTCAGAAATCTCACTGAGCATTAAACATTTTCACACAAATTAGATCATATGGATTTGACACGGATGAAAGCAAGAAAGAGTCACTAGAATGGATTCACAGATATTCAGTTGATCAAATAGATTAGTACATGCTTCCCAAAAAAGAAAATGAAGTTCCACTTGAAATAAAATGCTGTAATTATGCTTAAAATTTCTCAAATTTTGAAAGTTTGAGAAAACGGATCATAATAATAAAGTTGGTGTAGGAATGCCAACCTCCAAAATAACATGTTCATGGAAATGACGTGAACTTTCTATATTTTTTAATATATGCTTGAAAATAAAGTGTATACAGTCTTTCATAACTAAAAAATGCACTACATGTCTTCCATATTTGACTTTCAATGAAAATCTGTGTATAGCCATTCGTCGCTTAAAGATGGGGATACATTCTAAGAAATATGTCGTTAGGCGATTTCATCATTGTGCAAACATCATGGAGTATACTTACACAAACCTAGATGGTATAGCCTACCGCTAGGTATAGCCTACACCTAGACTATACGTACTAATATTATGGGACCACTGTCGTATATGCGGTCTGCCGTTGACAGAAACATCGTTTTGCGCCATGACAATATTTAGACATTTTGAGGAAGACATTTTAACTTTTATAAATGTAACAATAATCCAACCCATGATAAATTTTGAGTAATTGAAATTTTCTCTGCATTTATAAGAAATGTCAAATAGCAGACTGATTTTTTTTAAATAATAGTTTATCTAATGGTGTATTGAAGATCAAAAGAAATTCAGTCCAGTCTTCTGTATTTTATGGAGCTACAGAATACTGAAAATAGAGAAAAGCACAATTAATTTAGCTAATTATATATCATTTCACGTTTGAATGCCTTAAATACATTTGAAGGTTTTGAATCCTTGTAGGGTACATAGATTATCAGTTGGCCAGAACACAAGATCTCCCCAACTATTCTGAATTAGCAAAAACTTATTATAGCTTAGTGAAGGGCATATGGGGACTCCGTATTCTTTGCAATGTTTAAATCTAAAATTATTCCGAATATAAAAAGTTTATTTTAAAAAGTTTACATTATAATTGCATGACTACTTGATAATCAGATGGGCTGGAAATACCCATACATTCTCATGCACACATTCATTTCTATAAAGTAAAGATGAAAACCAAAATGTTTTAATTTAAGTAATTTTCATTCATAATATAGCTAGATAAAACTGTTTGGTGCATACATGGCTTCAACTAAATGTGATATGGCTAATTAGATTTGTCAAGATTACCTTCCAAACCACTATAACTACTTCCAGAAGAAATAAAGAAAGTGCAGTCAAGTTCACATTTAGCCATATGACACAGTGAAACAGAGCGATTTACTTATGACAACTTTTCAAGACAATTTTTTAGGAGAAAAGACTTTGGCTTAAGAATAATTTATTGGATAAGAACAGATTTGTCAAGTTTAAAGATAAACAGGAAAAATATGCCCTCTCCAAAGTAGCAGGAAAAAAAAGTGTTTTTCATTTATTGGGTTCAGGAAAAATCAACAGCTTTATAAAAATTATTTTTTAAAAAATAGTCAATCGTTATTATAGGGAACAGGAAAGGTAACGGCAGGTTATCCAAAGTTCATGCATGAAAGATACTAATTACCAGCCCCAGGCAGCAGAGGCAGGAGAGTTAGTTCCAGAGCGTGGTGAAGTTGAATCTCGGCTTTGCCACCTACTAGCCCTGTGACATTGGGCAAGTTAGTTTCTCCATGTCTCAGTCACTACATCTGTAAAGTGGTGACAATACTGCTACATTTGAGAGCACTGCTGTGGGGAATAATGAGGTACTTCCTATTACATGCTTGGCACGGTACATCCTAAACGCTCATTAGATGTTAGCTGCTATTACCCTCATTATTATTATTATTATTATTTATTTATTTATTTATTTATTTTGGTGAGGAAGACTGGCCCTGAGCTAACATCTGTGTCAATCCTCCAACCTCATTATTATTATTGTCATTATTCAGTAGGTTATCCAGTAAGAATGGATATATACTTATTTCCTTATAAACAACCAGGGTGAAAAGAGCACCTTGAAGTTTCTGTTTTCTCCCAGCACTTAAATTCAAATAGTACAAAACTTTAAAGAAAGCAAAACCACTGAGGAGGTTTGAAATAAGCAATATACACCAGGAATTTTTTACTCTCTGAGTACATGTTACTTGGAATAGAAGTTATTTCTATAGTTTGCAATTCACTGTCTTAGTCCTTGGTAGAAAGTCCTCAAGTTTCTTGGATGATACTTTTATATTTACACATACATACATATTTTACAATATCCTCTCCAGTTCTACGTTACTGTGTCCTATGTGAACATCAGGTCTACGGAAAGAATGGCGTGATCTACAGGAGATGTTCTCCTCAGAAATTCAGAAATCTATTTGATACACTGATGAATACTATAATAGCTACAGAAACCAAATGACTAATATCTTCTATTCTGTGTAAGTAGCAGCAATAACAAAGTCTATATAGGCAAAACTGAGCTTAAAAAAACAAAAAAATCCTGAAGTTGATCAACGTTACAAGAAGAGACAACTTCTCTCCTAGGAATTTCTTATTTTAGAATATTGGCTAATCTAGACAAACCCCAAGCCCATACAAAACACCTTAAGTTTCTAAGGCTCGGATTCTAAAGAAGTTAATTTTTAACCATTAACTCCTGACCACCTATAAAATACCAGTTGCTATAAAATGGATGGTCTACTAAAATGTACTTGTAGAAACAATGACAGAAGAGCCTATATGAGAGGGTTTAAAATGCGAAATGCATACATATATAACCACAGAAAAATGGAAGAATTACAGAAAAGTCCTTGTAAATTAAGTTTAGCCTGCTTTGGGATGCAAATTGCTTTGGGGGCAAGAGAGGAAGACGAGGAGGAGAGCCTCCAGAAGATAACACACATCTGTGAAGAGAGGAGACCAAGTCAAAGTGGAGAAAATGTTATAAGAAATGTGAAAGAACAGAAAGAGCAATCAATGATGTATGAAAGAGACGGCAGATGCACTACACTTACGACAGAATGGAGACCAATGGACACTAGATACAGCAAGGCCGCCATCAATACACATGAGGGATGAGCTGATAGCCTTTGGTGAACCAATGTGACCTCACATGACCCAGGACAGCAATGCTCAGAGCTTCGCAGCACCTAGGTATAGCCTTCATCCTGTAGTGGGCAGAATGAGGCTGGGATCATCACAGTATCTATTACAAAACTATCAAAAGAAAGGAAGGGTAAAGTGAATTCATCTTTACAAATGCTATTTATTTTTGTTTTTAAGGATAATAAATTCAGAAATTTCAATATTATGTTTCAGAAGCCCAAACCCAACCTAGAAGCCACCAACTGCATTAGGATTTACATCTTTTAACAATAAAAATACCTAATAGTCCAGGAGGCAATCATCTCTTCCTGTTTCTAACAGATGGACATATTTAACTAATAGTCACATCTTTTTTAACTCAATATACTTAAATACAGTAGGCACTTTACATTAGGAGCTCAGCTGAATGGTCTTGAAACGAATTTCATGATGTGATTTAAAGGAATCAATACAAATGTATAAAACTCTAAACTTTTCTATGCAAATATACTCTAAATAACTTGTCTGTGGTTTTTATAATCTGAGAGTATAGAAGTTGAATAAAATATTACTTTGGTTAGGAGTAAACTATTTTCCTATAGCCATGTATTATGAATTAAGTTCCCAAAGGTACAACTGATTTACTATATTTAACAGAATTCCTCTTTTCTAGTTTCTCTGCCTATTAAATAAAGTAGCCACCTAAAAACTGCTGCCTGGTATACTTTCTAGATAAAAAATTACGTAAGAATCTACTACTATTTCATAATCTTGGATGTCAAGCAAAAACACTAGTTTCATGTACCTCTATTCTTTAAAGTTCCTTTTGAGACTGTCTGTTAAAAATAATAATAATAGCTATTACTTACATCACATCTACTATGTTTCAGGCACTGTCCAATATGCTTTATACCTATTAATTCATTTAATACAGAAACATCTATGAAATATGTATTGTCACTATCCCCATTTTACAGATGAGGAAATTGAGGCACAGACAGTTCCTTGCCAAAGGTCACAAAACTAGTAAAGAGAGGAAGCAGGGATTCAAATCCAAACATTCTGCTCAGAATCTGTGCTTTTAACCTTCATCTTAGATTTCCTGGGCATTTATTTAGACAGTATTGAGAAATTCTATAATTTAATCATATGACAGTCATAAAACTTGACAGCCTGAGGAATTTTAAAATACTAATTCCTCTACCAATCTACTTGGGGCAGAGGATGGTACTAATCTAAATAAACTTCTGAATTTCTAAGCTTTTTATGAACAACCAACGTGAGTTTTCATTCCATTTAAAACAAACAAAAAAAAAACCTCTTTCTGACATTTCTCTTTTTGGCAAGAGCTAAAAACCTTTACCAAAACATACATCAAGGTACTTTCTAAATTTGATACCCTCTCATCACAATATTCAAACATTAGAAAAACACAGGGAAAAATGCATTCATATTTCAGAGTTTTATGCTTCAGTCTCCAACATTAGTCTTAAATCTATCATTAGATAATTCTTTTAACTCTCTCTAATGATGTAGAAGACTTCTAGAGAAATATAGGGGCGGCACACAAATACAAGATTAGCTGTAGAAAGATTCTAGAATAGTCCAAAGTCAGTAAAAAGACAGTAATTTAAAGGAAATAAAATGTCAGGAGCCACGAGAGTGATGTCAACAGTGTCCCAAGAGAAAAAGGAGATGAAGACAGAGTAGGAGAAAAGACGACCACAGGGACCCATACAAACACTCAAGAGAGCACGTGAAACACTAACCAGCAGTCACCTAAGTATATAAAAGGAATGCTACTTCAGTGATCAGATCTGTCAATCCTGATTGCATTAAAGTCCTCTTCAGTGAAGTACACAACGTAACAAAACTGAAATGTACCAATAACCAGTATTATTTTGAAAATAGACAACTGCTTAAAAATTAGCTTTCTAATTTTATTAAAACGTGGATGTTTGGAGTTTTCCCTGAAAAACAAGTGAGTAATAATACTAAAAATAATAAAAATCTATTATTTCAAGGAAAAATGTATTATTTCGAAAGTCTTTCAAGGTATCAACCTGTTTTTGACTTAAAGAGTAGAAATAACATCCTGGGTTCAGTGTGTACTCAATTTTAAAATTGTTTAAGAGGCTATTCAAATTAGTCTTTATTTACTATCTGGGGAAAACTCCCAAAATTCAATCAGTAATAGATTAATCGTGTTATCTCACTAATGCCCCACGCTGACTCAATACTAGGGATGTATTTCAAAAGGGAGACTGGAAATGAGGTGAACAAGTGCAGCACAGCAGTCCTGAAGTTACATTCTCCTCTGTGCAGTCCCCCAACACAATTTCAAGATGCTACGAAAGTGTGTATGATGAAACGTTGCCGGTGTTTCCAAGTGAGGGATGTAACTAGGGCAATATTTTGAACTAAACATATGTGCTGAAGTTCAGAAGGTCTCATTTGAGACCACACAGCAGCTTAAGAATTGAGAGAATCAGGCTAAAAGAAACACATACAATATAACTGTAGGATGTGGAGATCTACCTGTACATAAAGATATAGACATATCCACAGCTGTACCTGCACACACACCCCACTATGCACTTTCCAGAGGCAGAAAATAGATTTGTGAGGCAATAATCTCCAATCTTTTCATTGCACATCAACACATTCCACTCGAAAACCTAGAAGAGAACCTTAGACAGCACTTAATGTAAATGATTGTGGTCCATGGTTACAAACCACCTGTCGTCTTATTTAGAGCCACAGCCCAGCCCCACAGAATGGAACTCAGAAGGCTTCAAAAATCTACTAGCAAAAGACGCACAGTGAAATAACTGCTAGATCCTACAGCCTGCACATTGTGTGGGGCTCTTGACAGGTTCTCTCTAAAGTTGTGAGTGTTTCTTACAAGGCAATCTAGGGTTCTGTGTCTCTAAGGAACATTACCGTTTTAACTGAGCCCAAACAAAGAAATGAAATACCTGTAGCCTCGGAATAATACAATCTACAAAAGCTTAAAGCCAAAGCAACCTCTCAATTTTACCAAAAATATGAACTCATCAAGCATCATTAAAAGGAATATAATCTGTGTACTCTTAAGAAGGAGTCTTTTAAACCAAGTTTGTTCTTTTGGTTGCATAACAGGGAAGCTAAACCTATCTTCCTGAGGCACAATATACGTTTGCATCCCCAGAATCTGCATCCGACAGTGGTGACTACATAACAAGAGTCCTCCGTTCTGTGTGTTGAAAATAATTCACTTAGGTTTAAACTCTTACCAATTTCTGAAATGTTTCTTTTACAATGGACAGCAGATAACACTAAAGCTGCCAGTCTTGGGGACTGAATTGAAGTGGCCATTGGTGCCACGCCACTATCTGTCTCAAGGCCTATCTCCTCCGCTAGATCAAAAGTTCTTCAAGGGAAGGAATGAAGAACCGTTTTCCTGTATTACAGTGCCTAACACCAAGCCTGGGACACGGTAAACACTCAATAAGTAAGTACTGACTCAATGGATTTGTTCAATAGAGCAGGCTAAACCAGATATTTCTTTTTTTTTTTTTTTTTTGGTGAGGAAGATAACGCCCTGAGCTAACACTCCCTGCCAATCTTTCTCTTTTTTTGCTTGAGGAAGATTAGTCCTGAGCTAACATCTGTGCCAACCTTCCTCTATTTTGTATGTGGCTCGCCGCCACAGCATGGCTGATGAGTGGTGTAGGTCTGTACCCAGGATCCAAACCAGTGAACCTGGGCCGCTGAAGCAGAGCATGCCAAAGTTAACCACTAAGCCACGACGCTGGCCCCTAAACCAGATATTTTTATTCCCAAAGTTTTATTTACTTTAAGGCTCTCAATTTTTGCCTATACTGGATGGTTACAAATACCCACTTTATTTGTGCTGAGCATATCTGTCATGATTAACCAATTTTTGTTCACAATAAGGAAATAAATGTTTATTCTTCTATGCTCTAAATAGTTTTATTTGAACCAATATTGGCGCAAATCAAGCTTAAACCCATTTTCATTGCCTGCCTTAACATAATCTAACACTTACACGTTTGTCTTTAAAATATGCTTTAGAATAATGCCTGTTGGGTAAATTAAATGACTTGGAATCTTCCTTTATTCAATACTTATTATGGTAATAGGCACTCAGCATTTAGGGATTAGCAGGAATCCACAAACCTAAATGCAAAGGAAACTTTATTGGCTAGGAATTATTTTAATAAAAAAGACAATGTGATCAAGAGCCAGACAATATCTCAAGTTTTTACTTTTTGACAATCAGCCATGAGTGATAATGAGAGGACATCACGAGCGTAATCTGCACGTGTGCAATTGGTTTTGCTTTACAGCATGGACTGTACCCTAACCTGAATCACCTGACAGGTGTGGGGCTAAAGATAAGAAAATCAGAGGAGAGAACAGGGATCAAAACCAACCCATCTCCACAAAGTTTACTCAAATGGTATACACATGTAACAGCCAGCAGTGGAAATGATGACAGCTCATTATTAATTTAGGAAACAGTTCAGAGGCCACTCAAAAATTCGTTCAAGTTCAAGATTTCGTTTCATATATTTGTGATTATAATCTATTTATAACCCCAACAATTCCCAAATATCAATACTACATATGGCTACATATTAGCATTCAATTTCTAAAGCACAGCTATATTAATAGTCCTGTGTATAACTAGCATTAATGAAATCATGGTTGGGCAACCTAAGTTAAGGTCAAACCACAGGAAGAGAGCTACACCTTTATCACTAATTTTCAAGTGGCAGTGGGCCAACTCTATAGCCCCTAGGTCTCTCTTCTGGGAGGGGTTTTGAGATAAAGCATGTTTTTTTTAAAATATAAGATACAGCTACAAACCAAGATTTTCTTAGAGACTGCGTCTTAATTAAAAATCAGACAACACACATCCCTGTGTGCAGTGCTCTCAAACACTGGTGTGCATAAGTAGAACACCCTTGAGAGCTTGCTAGAAGTACAGAAGCCCTGGATCCACTCCCTGAGATTTTGTTTTTGCAAGTTGGAGGCAGAGTCCAAAGGGCTGTATTATGAAGGAGCACACGTTTTAGTGATGCATATGAAATTCTGGCTCAGCTTTGAAGCTTTGCCATAAACTCAACACATCAACCTGGAAAAAGAGTTTAAGTTTTGTGACTGCCTCTTTCTATGCCAATCTGCCCACTTTCCTAACAGACAGACAAGACATATTTGAGTATATATAAAGTGTTTATTATTCTAAAATTTCCTACAAATCCTTTATTTTTGAAAAGACAGGTTAAAAATAAAATCAGCATTAATAGCATAAGAAACGTTTGTTCAATATGTCCATCTGAAGAAAAGGTACCTAATGCCACTGGGTCTGGGTTGACAGGACTCTGCTGCCTGGAGTGGCTGCTGCTACCGCTGCCGCCCTTTTTTAAGTCCTCGGCGTCGCTGTATCGCCGGATCCAGTAATTCAGCTCCTCCCGGTCTGCTTCCTGACACCGCCTTAGTACAGTGAGAGAGCGCCTTGTTTTCTCTACCATGTCCATTATGCAGTTTAAGAGCTATGGGAGAAACGGGGCAAAGGGAAGAACATGTCAATCACCACAACCTCAAGACTGGCGGGTAGTGCAACAAACCATTTTAGGACAATGAAGGAGGCTATTTTATTCCCAAAGATTTCAGGCTAACATTTTCAAAGGTTAGATTTGAAATTGAGACTCAAGAGATGAGTAAACTCAATGGGGATGAGAATAAAAAGTGGACGGCGTGAACAAAGCGTCATGACTGAGAGATGTCAGCTGAAGGCATACAGCCAGTAAACCCACCTTTCCAAATACTAAGCCCATCACTGCATAAACTAAACGACCCTTTCGCAAGAAAACAGTAGCCTGTGGCTGGCTTTCAGGAGTTCTTTCCATGATCTAAACGTTTCTCTTACATAAGTGACTTTGATACCAATTTATGAATCAAATTCTATATTCTACTTCAAACATTCTCACTCATTTTTTTAAGGATAGCAGGAAACATAATACCTTCAAAGCATCCCCATGCTTTCATTTTATCACATAAACTCACTCCAGTTGTTTTTAAAACATTTTTTAACCCAAATGATAACCGACATCTTACATGGTCAAGATGTTTCCATTCCTCTGCCCATTCTCTGTCTGTTAGCCTGTGATCAATCATTTCTTCTTGACGTGTGCCATGCAACCCTACAAATGTAGAGAAGAGGGCTGAACCACCTTGAAGCATTCAGGACATAATCCACACACGCAGGCACTTCACAAAGAAGGGCAAGCTAAGCAACGTGAAAATATGTTCGATGCTGAACGGAGATGTGAGCCATCCTCAGATTTAGAATTATCTAATGGGCTCCTCACAGAATGATAAAATGTTAGAACTAGAAGGAATTTTAGAGGTCATCTGATCAGAACCCTTTATCTTTTTTTTTTTTGTGAGGAGGACTAGCCCTGAGCTAACTTCCAATGCCAATCCCACCCTTTTCTCTTGAGGAAGATTGGCCCTGGGCTAACATCCGTGCCCATCTTCCTCTACTTTATACGGGACGCCGCCACAGCATGGCTTGCCAAGTGGTGCGTTGGTGTGTGCCTGGGATCTGAACTTGCGAACCCCGGGGCCACCACAGCGGAGCACACACACCCAACTGCTGCGCCACCTGGCTGGTCCCCAGAACCCTTTCTCTTACACACGAAGAAACAGGGAGTAAAGTGACACCAAGCCCTGAGCTAGTTATCCACATAACGTTCCCTAAGCGAAAATAGAAATATATCCTAACTCTTAATAAATACCAGAAACCACAAGTAGACATTAAGTGGTTTCAAAGTGTGGCTTTCCTGCATTCAAAATAAAGACACCATAAATCGTTTTACATGGGCAGGGATATGCTTTTCTAAAACAAGCATGGTAAAATTTTTCCACATTTCAGCATAGTATAAATGGACCCAATCTTATTACATGTACTCCCATGATACAATTAGGCCATGAAGACAGGCTTGCATAATATGAAAGCTACATATACTCACTCAATTTACCAAAAAATAAAAAACACAAATAAATTGAACATGCTTTAAGAAAAATAATCAATATATCAGATATAGTTTTGGACAAATATCGTAAACCCTAGCTAAGAAGCTGAAAATCCTAATTTGTAATCCATGGCATTAGCATTAATGCTTTTTTAGCAACATAGTTAATAAACCACCATGAAAAACTAACATGTAAATGTTTACCAAGTGAGCAACAATAGCAATGAACATGAGCAGTTAGCTAGGATGCTCATCAAAATAGAAAATAAAGGTGTCCTGCTAGAAGGATAGGATGGAAGGCTCTGATCAGAGGTACCTGGGACCGTGTTCCTTCTCCTACAAATTCCATCACGCATAAAACACCTTATGTTCTACTGTAAAGGAAAGGCATTACGCTGTGGCAATATTCTGCATTTTAAACAATTAAAACTATTTTTTTTGACTGCCACTTCTCGCACTGTTATTCTGAATAGCAAATTAAGTCTGTCTTGGTTTGGGCTTCTAGACACCTAGGTTCCTTCTCTGAGGGTGTTATATAGGAGTTAAATGACCAGTAAGAGTTATGAAACACTGCATTCCACTTCTGTGAAATCTGAGTGGTTAGAAATCCCCTCTTTTAGCTGATTTTGAGAAATAAAGATGAGTCACATGACTCTTTTCGGCCAACCATGAAACAGGATTTAATTTATAGCTGATGGAAGTGAACAAATATACAACAGCTCTTTCTCAAACTAAATAAAAAACTAAACATAAAACACTTTGCATCATTCCTGTCCAATTAGAACATATTCTGAGATACATTTTAAAGATTTTATTTATTTATTTTTTTTTCCCCCAAAGCCCCAGTAGATAGTTGTGTGTCATAGCTGCACATCCTTCTGGTTGCTGTATGTGGGACGCGGCCTCAGCATGGCCGGAGAAGCAGCGCGTCGGTGCGAGCCCGGGATCCGAACCCGGGTCGCCAGCAGTGGAGCGCGCGCACTTAACCACCAAGCCACGGGGCCGGCCCATTTTTTTTTTAAAGATTTTATTTATTTATTTTCTGAGATACATTTTAAAAGTTAAAATTGTCAATGCCATCTATTGGTAAAAAAGTAAAATTGCAAATATGTCTTAATTTGCATAATAGAAAAGACATTGGAGAAAAGTAATATTTAGCTATTGCTGTTTGTTGTGACTATTTCAAGTTGAAATGTTTGCAAATATGTAATTTTTGTTGACTTATTTGCTGCCTGTGCTTTAGGGAAAAAGCACTACCGTTGAAACGAGTCATCACAGAAAACAACCAGAGAAGGATGAAGATATAAACATGGCACTGCCTTTCACGATGGAGGCGTCTTACTATTCGCCTTTAAGGACCAAGATCTCCAGAGGTGTCAAAAGTTTCCAAAATTCAGCAGACTAAATCAATAATGATATGAGCTCTAACACCTGGAATAATAATAATAAGCAACAGGAAGGATGTCTGTGTCTAATGGGATTCCAGCATTAATGGAATAGTGCTAAGCATCATCTCACTTAAAAAAAAAAAAACTAAGTACATTAGAAACATGTTTGAGCCCAAGTAATTGGTGAAAAAATATAGGGCTCATTTGCTGCTTTTGAACTCTGAAGGTCATTTGTTGGACAGAATCAAATCTTTGAAAAGAAAAAATAAAACAATTCAAAATTTTACGTTTATTATTTTCTCTATTTCAGACACTTAAAGATTCATCACCACACAATTTTTATTTATCTTCATAATACCAGAGGGATGTACTAGGGGAAAATAGCTGACTCATTAAAATACATTTTAATTTGTGGGAAATTTAACACTAATGTTGAGTCTTAACTGATTCCTAACTAGTTAACACTAAGTTTACTTATAAACTAATGCTGCTTGTAAAGTTACTTTATTAAAGGATTCTAGTGAGTGTATGTCTCTACATATAACAGGCATTTACAAATCCTACCAGACTCAGTATACCTTTATAACAATTTTTATAGTCTCAAAATGGCAGCCTGATGTAACACCATAATTTGTTACTCATACATCAAGATTTTATTTTACATTAACACACACTAAACTCTGCCAGACTTTAGGGATGATTAAGTAGTTGCATATATTTATAGAGATTAGCAGTATTAGTTTTATAAGCTAATATAATTAAAAGGCAAGGAACATGATCTGAAGAAAAATCATATAAAACCAGTAGGCATAGATATAATTCATAAAGGGATATTTTCCATTACTAGATGAAAACATAATCACTGCACATAAGCATAATTACTTCCTTGGTGATCACTTTATAGTGCATGGGAACTAATATTTCATAAAATAGCATTTGCTGCCTAAGAAATAGGCCATTTCCTAGCACCTATAAAGTGGGATATCTTGAATTGGTCTTACAATAACCCAGTGACTCCACTTTTATTTGAAAATGAGCAATCATGGTTTGGGAGCATTACGTCATAAATAAATGGCAAGGGTTTTGCTTAGAAGGGGGTTGTTATTGTGTTTGATTTTGGGGTCAAATTATCAATCCAGACTGAGAAATAACATAACCACTTTAGAGAGCTCTTTAGAAATGGTACCTGAGAGAACATTAGACAGACTGGCTATTAAGAAAGCACAAATTATATGCTTAGCCATTTGTCTGATAAACCAAATAAATGTAGAAATGACTGTTGTGGAGAAGCAGAACTACTATTTTACTGTCTCACAACCAGGGCATCAATCACCCCTCCCCTCACCCCGACTCTCCCTTTCTGCTTTCTAAACATTTGGAGAGTTGTGGGAAGAAAGGCAAAAAGACCCTACATGTGGCAGCCCCTATCTTGTAGTAACCTAGTTAGAAATCTAACGTAAAGTTCTGTTCACCACACCATCTCTGCCTGTGGCTAAAAAAACACTGTCCCTACTATTCGAGCAGTGGGTAACTGGCTGGGTGCCTTTTCCCGAATTCTGCATCCTCAGCTCTGTGTTCTGGTTTTTTCACTCAGACTTCATCCCTTGCTGTTTCCAACATCCTGCCCACCAAATCGTCCACGTCAGGAAAGTCTGTCAGCAACTAGGTATGACGTAAAGGAAGTCCTGCTGGTGGGTGTGGACACAGGAGATGGAAAAAGAAGAGAGGGTAGACTGTTGCTATCAGTTTATAAATAGCTTGACTCACCAAAAATTAAGAACTGAAGGAGCCCCAGGAACAGTGCTCTGATGCCATCACCTCAACCACTGATCGTGTATCAACTTACCTGGTTCATCTTCCTCCCCATTTTTCATGGTGGACACTTGTTCTTTAAAAAGCATTGTCTTCTAAATGCGTCACTTCCAACAGTTTTATGCAAAGAAGGAACCAACACAGGCAAATGGAACACACATTTACCCAAACTCATTCCTTCTTTGGTATTCTGACCTTTGACACTAAATTGTCAATACTAAATTGCATCACTGGCACTTTCAGGTTTAAAAAAAAAAAGTACCAAATCATTCCCCAAAGAACATCTGCTGCGTTAAGCCACAGACATATACCATATCATATTTTTCAAATCCAGAATATCACGGAGACTGGAAAAATCAAAATGGACCTTAAAACTATATGAAATAAAGGGTACAATGAAAGAAAAGAAACATTTTTAAAAATATATGTGGCGGGTTGATTGCATATGAAATCTCTCATGTTAAAAAAATATTAAACTAAAAATTCACTTTGCATTTGTTAATACATTTGAGGGTTTTGTATTTATTTAGATGCTCCCCTCCAAAAACAAATAAATAACCTGCTGTCGTAAAGAATGTAATTGAGAGAGAAAGCACAGCTGTTAAAGAACATATTAATACTAACCAAGTTTTCTGATAAAGGAGACAATATAAGGAAAGAGAAGAGAATTTTTACCCCTATCACAGATTTCAAGCCTCAAGTTCAGCAGAGAAGTAATGATGCAAGTCTTCAAGCATTCAATGCCATAAGAAGTGAAGAGATCCTTCAGTCTTACCCATAGGTCTGTTTCTGTCCCTGAGGTCCCTGTGGCTGGGGTGTCGATAGGAGTCCCTGTAGTGGTGGGCAATGGCCATATCATCCAAACGGTAATGCTGAGGTGGAGGTGGGGTGGGGTGAGGCAGGCCGTTGGGCTGGTAGGATAAGCCGTTATTTGGACTGTACCGCTGGCCTGGGCTAATAGTGCATGGTCGCTTGCTTGGATGTTCTGAGTGCAAAGGCTCTCTGTCAAAGCCATTTTCTTTGGTTCTGAGTGGGGAAGAAAAAAGTTTGTTTCATAATATACTCAGAAACCAACATAGTTCAGACACTCACATTTGAACTTGTAATATAAACAGAATATTCCTTTATTGGCCAGAAACTTTCTAAACTTAGCTTTCCAGCAGTCCTTTGGGAATTCACTGAAACCCATACCGAGGCCTAAATGATCACAAGACTGCACACAGGAGAAAATGTTTCACTTCTCACCAAATTAGCAAACATCGTTTCAGTTGAAGCTCATGTGGTTAAGTCACAGATAAGAGGGAAAAAACCCAAGCTCCCCCTGTAGATAACATTTTATTCAAAAGAGAGTACTTGCCTTCTAACAAATTACCCTAAGACTGGTTGTATTTGATGAAGATCCATCAACGTACAATGGCATCATTCTCTTGATGAATTCTTTTTTTTTTTTTTGTGAGGAAGATCAGCCCTGAGCTAACATCCGTGCTAATCCTCCTCTTTTTGCTGAGGAAGACCGGCTCTGAGCTAACATCTATTGCCAGTCCTCCTCCTTTTTTTCCCCCAAAGCCCCAGTAGATAGTTGTATGTCATAGTTGCACATCCTTCTAGTTGCTGCATGTGGGACGCGGCCTCAGCATGGCCAGAGAAGCAGTGCGTCGGTGCGTGCCTGGGATCCGAACCCGGACCGCCAGCAGCGGAGCGCGCGCACTTAACCGCTAAGCCACGGGGCCGGCCCTCCCTTGATGAATTCTTAAGTACAGTTATTCCATTTATCCAACCCGGCAAGTGATTTCCATGTCAGAGAACACGTAAGAGCTGTGTTGCCCAATACAGTAGCCACATGTGGCTGTTTAAATTAAATGTAATTAAAATTAAATAAAGTTTAAAATTCAGATCTTTAGCAGCAGTAGCCACGTTTGAGGTGCTCAATTGCCCCCTGTGGCAAGTGGCTATGGTATTGGACTGTGCAGATAGAAAACATTTCCATCATCTCAGAAAGTTCTATTGGACAGCACTGATCAAACTGAACTGATGCAATAAAACAGTGCAATGTCTGGGACTCTGACATGACCTTGGGTCACCAAGATAATGAGTCAGCAGTCATACAGAACTACCTGAGACTAGAAGGAGGATCTACGTGAACGCCCCCTATTTTAAAGTTGAGGAAACACATGCCCAGAGGACTTGTGTGACCTGCCTGGGGTCATCAGGTCTTAGGGCAGGATGGACACACCTTGACTGCACTTCATCATGTGATACACAGAACTCTGAACTTGGCTTTCAGAAGGAATACGGGATGAGACCTGATAACTAATCACTGCTCCCAGATTCTCACCCTGAAGTAGGGCTAAAGAAATATTTTCTGGCTGAATGTATCTCTCTGTTCTTAGAGACTAACTCAATATACTCAGTAAGATAGGAACTAACCACATCCAACTTTGACTGGAATCACAGCTCCTAAACTAATTTTTTACTTAGTAGCTGGCTCTCCTCACAAGACCAGCACTGCATCCTTAGACCAGTGCTATCATCCATTTTCCCTGGGAAATTTCCCTGTAAGAATTCTACCAAGTACAGTAGCTGCAGATTTCTGCACACCTTTTTTATTTTAGGTTGGTGACAATAGCATAGATGCCTTAAGACACTTCTACTTTCCTAGTGTCTAGGATGGTATGTGTCTGAAATACCGGAGGGATCTGAGTGGAAAATGACTTAACAACCGAGATCATTAAGGGCAACAGGATTCTATAATGAACCATCCTGTATGTCCCTTTAAGGTAGAGTCCCAGTGACAAGCCCCAGCGACAATCTGACAATCCACGATAAAGGACTTAGAGACAGAAGATACGGACACACAAAGAACTGAGGGCAACTCAGCAGAGTTCAGTATGAAATAAATACACGCCCAGTACATGCTGAAGAAGGATGCACTGTTCTGGAGACAGGAGACTGACCAACATTGGAAATGACAGCAGGGCATGGTCCCCGTGGGAGTGGTGGCCAGAAGTCTCAGTGCTGCTCCCATCAAAGTATGTATCTCCACTAAAATATACTGACTCCATACATATTGATCAATAGATTAAAATGTCCAGTATAATTCAGACATTACCTAAATGCATTGCTTTAAAATAATTTTTAAAAGTGAAAGAAAACACTCTAGATATCGATTTATCTTCTAAGAGGAAATCTATGTGATTCTAATCTGTATTTTCATATCCTATGTATTTCTGAATAATACACTTCAACATTCAATGCATATTACCAACATAAATCAGTTGTAAAATACTGAAGACTATTAGTAGCTATGAACATAATGCTAACCTAGCACCTATCTTACTGGCAGTGTGATATAGCGCAAAAAAGCACTTGACTGGGAATCAAGAGACCTGAGATCTAGTCCTGGCTCTTCCACGACTAGCTGTGTGACCTTAGGCAAGCCCCTTAACCTCTCTGGACCTCAGTTTGCTCATCTGTAAAATGAAAGGGTTGGACTAGATCAGTGGTTTTCAAACTTCACCACTTGAGGTGCTTAAGGGGTTCTGCAGGCAATGAATTTCCCCCTAAACAATCAAGATTTAAAGGACCAGAGGAACACACTTATTATTCTTATTCATTTTAAAAATTGGGGTACCATCTAAGGTTTCATTTTTAAAGGAAAAAGTCTGCTGTTAAAATCAAGTTTGAAAACCACTGGACTAGATTATTTCTGAGGTCTCTTCTAGTTAGAAAACTCTGCAATTCAATTACCCTATGTTTACACTTAAATGTCATGGTTATGCAGATCAAAATCTACAGGGCTAAGTCAAGCGTCTAAGTCAACCACTTGAGCTAACAGGGAATTTCTCTGTTCTTTGCTTTGAACAATTTAATTATTTATAGCTGATTTTTTGCACAAAAATAGAAAACATCCTCTCAATACCTTACAGCAGGGCCGGCCCCGTGGCTTGGTGGTTAAGTGAGCGCGCTCCACTGCTGGCGACCCGGGTTCGGATCCCGGGCTCGCACCGACGCGCTGCTTCTCCGGCCATGCTGAGGCCGCGTCCCACATACAGCAACTAGAAGGATGTGCAGCTATGACACACAACTATCTACTGGGGCTTTGGGGTAAAAAATAAATAAATAAAATCTTAAAAAAAAAAAAAAAAATACCTTACAGCAGCCCCTGTTGCATTTCTAAATATGGAAATACCTTTGACCCAGTTGTGTCAAACAACCTCAACTTACTGGTTTTGTCTCTTCTTGTTCAAAGATAACGACACGCAACATTAGAAGAATTCTTACAATTTTCAAAGTGGTGAGATACGTTCTTTATCTTTACCCTCAGATCAGTGGTCTGATCCGTGTTATTACTCCAATGACCTATGGTTATGAAAAAAAAGCCTCCCTTGGGCTTGCCCAAGTTCACACAGCTAGTCGTGGCAGAGCCAGGACTAGATCTCAGGTCTCTTGATTCTCCACCCCAAAACAAGGACAGTCACACCCTAAGAAGCAGGGCCAGGTCCTGAGTCTCTCCTATCATTTCTGTCCGGTCTCTACTGTCCCAGCCGGGGTCTCATCATTTTGCTAGCTCTTGAAACAATAAAGCTCATCACCTCACAGAGGTAGTTATATTTTAACAGCAAAGCATTAAAACGTTCATGGCCCACAGCAATAAAGTTATGAAAGGTGTCCCTGGTGCTTCCTTGAATCACACATGTCTATTTATAAGACCAACCCTATTCAAAGGATGTATGTCCAGAAAGGTAACTAAAACAACTTAAGTGCTATCTGTCTGTGCTTCTTAGAAATGCCTACAACTGTCTACATCTCATTTGCTTGGGTAAACTCCAAATCTGCATGTTTGTTCATTGCCCTTTCAAAGTATATTAGGCAAAACTAACAAATACTTTTCCTTGGCCCATACCAGAATACTCCTGAAATAACTCAAATTCTCATGGGAAGTCCATCATGTCTCATGGATTTCCGAAAGGCATGTTTTCTTTGTTTTTTTTAAATCAACCCGAGGATATTCTATCTCCCTACCAGAAGAAATTTTCCTTAACATGATCTAACCACATCAATATTTAGATGCCAATCACTTCTCTCTCAGGGTCTGATGGTCCTAAGAATAGAGGAACACTCAAGACTCAGCTGTGCGACCTTGAGATAACCTGGCAAATGGTCTGGCTTCAGTCTCCTGTCCAGGAAAATGAAACTAATAGGAAACAATATATGTAAAAAAAAAACTTAGGCAACCTAATTTGCACTTTACCCCAGCTCAGGCTGTTTTTACTTAGTTCCTCAATAACAGAGGCTGTAAACTGAATTATTTGAGAAAGAAAAGAAACATTTTTAAAAAACTTTCCTCCATATAAAATACTTTAAATGTCATTATTAGCTAGTGTGCACTGATAATCCCTTAGTACCGCTTATATAAAATAGTATAACATACAAGGAAAGGGGGAAGAATGAAAAAAACTATCATAAGATCATGGCAATAAACAGAACAAGAGGACCATATCAATCTCCTCCATGACAGAAGCAGGCATAAGTTTTTTCCTAGATTAAAAATTTTTTTTAAGTGGGGAAAATATCACTATAAAGATTGTTCAAGGGAGAGGCAAATTGGTACAGCATAATAAACCTCAGAACGGCAAGGAAGAAACTTAAAAATTCTAATCTTAGTCCTGTTACGAATAAATACCTGCCTTAGGTGCTCCCTTCTCCAAGTTACCACAGGTATTTCAAACACAACATGTCCAAACTGACATCATCTTTCCCTGGTACTTTCTGTGTTGGTCAATTATGCCACCCTCTACCAGGCAGCCAAGCAGAAACCTGGAAGTCACTCTATGACTTGCGTCTCTAAATCAAGTCCTGCTGCTGCGCTCTTAAGCAACTCTGGCATAGATCCCTCTTCCCTACTCCCCAGGGCACCTTATTACCTCGGCTGATCGCACCACTGTCCCACTCTGCCAGCGTCTCAGCCAGAGCTGGGGCTGAAATGCCAGCAGAATCTCAAAATAATAATAAAAAAAAAGATTCTT